GAAGAGGCGGAGGAAATGTTGAGTACAAACCGTCGAGAGTTATGTTTTGGTAAGTATTAAAGGCGACGATAGCGTCGGCTTTGCGGTCAAAGACGACGAAAGCGGTGCCCGAAGAGCGGCCCGTCTTCTCGTAGTTGACGGCAACCCTCTGAACGGATCCATACAATTCAAAGAGTTGTCTCATTTCGTCGTCCTTTACTTCAGAGGAGAGGTTCTCAACGAAAATCTGTCCACAATTGGGGCCGAAGTGATAGCCATGCGATTTGGATCCGTTTGCGGCGACAGCGTCGTCGCTGGAAGCGATCACATCGGCCAGACTCTGGTCAATCTTCGTGGGATCCGATGACTCGTTGGCCACTTTGACGACAATGTTTGCGCTCTGATTGGTCTTAATCTCACGTTTTATGCCTCCTTTGCTGGCATTGAATGCCGTTATCTTCGATGCGATGCCCTCTTTGGCGATGATGTCGTCCAAAGACAGATCCAATTTGTTGTCACCCATAATGTCTTGGAGTGCGGGAAGTGTTTGGACACCGCTTTCGGGACGTAAACAAGTAGTCAGTATTTGGGACTCAAATGAATCATAGATTCAAATCTCAAACCAATTTATAGTAAACGCAAAACACGTGAGAAATGTATTGAATGTCAATATATATACAGTTATTACGTCTACTCTTCACTTACTTTTACTTTTGCCCCTAATTTTGGCATTAATTTTATTGAATTGAATTTAACTTATTATACGTTAAGTTAATATTAAATCATATGTTACTTAATATTAAATTATTTATAAATGAATATACTTTTTGCTATTTAATTGAAAGCATTGGTTATAAATTAATTATTAAAAATAATATAAATAAACTTAATCTAAATCTAACAATGAATTTAATTTCAAAAATGGTAAAATTTAATAAACAATTAGATGAAAACCATTTGAAATACATTTCTTACAATCAAAAGAGTCATTCAAAATGTCTGATGAAGAAGAAGAGCCGGCAAAGAAGAGATTGAGGACAAGTAGTCCTATTCCTGCGGATCCATTGATATCGGGAATCAGCCCTCGCGAGGAATCACGCTATTCAGGACCTCTTGCGCACACATCAGCCAATGTGTCTCCGATAGGGTCTGAGGGGAGTCTAGGTATCGGTGTGTCGGACCCAAGTCTCGATCGGTCGGATCTGTTCGCAGATATGCCGGGAGTGCCAGAAGTGTCGTTCGCCGAAGTGGTGGCCAATATGGACATTGAGGACACGCCTACCATTCAATTCACAGAAATGGAGAACTTCTACAACAATCTAAATGTTGGGCACAATTTAGGTACCGTTAGACTTACAGACATGATTGAGGCCTATCTGAACGATCCGTCCTATCTGTTCATCAGATCCCTAAACAGCGGTACGTTTGGCGACGTCTATAAAGCCATTTATACGGAACACATAAACTGGAGACCACATCAACAAGAAGTGTCGGCCATCAAAGTGGTGCCGACGACACCCACTACTAATGCTATTCAAGAGCGAGAAATTGTGGACTTCCTGACGGAAGAGGGATCACAACATCCAAACATTATTGAGTTTTACGACTGCTTTCAGGGACCGATGACCACATATATAGTGATGGAATTCGGACCCATCGGTGATCTACACTCTCAGCTCCGGATCGTCAACAATGCCCAACAACTCGCTTGGGTTCCTCTCCAGTCGGTGTTCGCTCGTCATGTCATACGCGGAGTGGCCGAAGGCGTCCGACACCTCTTCAGCCTCAATATCATTCACGGAGACATCAAACCGGAGAATGTAATGCTTTTCTGGGGTCCGGCGGCGCTTCCAATCAACGACAGGCGCGTTCATTGGGTCCCAAAACTCACCGACTTTTCCAACTCAAGAGCTGATCCATACGGAGGTGAGGGAAAAACGCGATAAATATTATTAGACACTTTTCTTTTAGTAATTATGTTATAATTATTAATGATTCTATCCTTTAGGAGAGATCCTAGTGAACCGCCCGCTGTGCTCTTTGCATATGGCTTCGCCAGAGAGTTATCAGCAGATGATATACTTTGCCAAACCGGCCGATGTGTACTCAGTGGGTGCCCTACTATTGGCAATGCTTACGGCCAGGTATTCATTTGTACCGCCCATTCCGCCCGGCGTTCAGATTACTCAACAACAGCTCATAATTCTGTCCACTACTATGAAAAGCGATATGAATTACGTACATCTCGTGACTATGGCTTTTCCGCAGCCATTGCAGGACTCTTTGGTCGGACTCTTGAATTCGGTTCCCGATTATCGGATGACAATTTATGACTTTCTCGCCAGTCCATGGTTTGCACTGCCGGTCGGCGCTCCAGGAGTTGAGTACAATCCAGACGAGCCGTGAATTGATGCGCCAATCGATGGCCTATTTATGAATTATTACGAGATATTTTTGGCCATTAAAAGGATTAAAAGGTATTCAATGGCTAAATAAAACCAAATTATTGCCATTTCTTAGTGTTTATTCTGTGATATTATTAAGTTTTAAAGTTTTAATCTTATTTATTCAATTATAATTATTACAATACCTTTTAATGGTATGGATTTTCAAACTATAAAAAAATAATTAATTAATTTTTAAAATGTAATTAGAAGAAAGACATATGATTTACTATATTTAGGTAAGTTATTTTTCAGTATAATTAAATTAAATTTAACTAAATTATCAAAGAACGCTAACCTTTTTTTTAGATTAATTCATACGGTATGTATTTTTTCCAATATGTATTATATCAGTGCCCATACAAACAAAATTACGAATTACAATATATCCAGGTATGTAATTATGGTAAATTTTATGGATAATTAATTGATAATTTTATTAATGAATTTAATTAGATTAGTATAAATTATACAAATTACCATTATAATTTTAATTCTATTATTATTTTATTATTATATAATATTTTTTATTTGTTAGGTAAGAATGCAATTAAGTTAATTATACTTTGGGTAACATTAATATACTATTACTAGTGTTAATTAAGTACCAGGTTGGAATTAATGGACTACAATAAGTGAAAGTGGAGTATTATGAGATGTGCTATAACAATAAACCATGTTAATTAATAACTTAATTATACATATGTGTGAACTTAATTATAATTAGTTAATCCCCCGATAGCCATATGATTATCCAATTGCTGAAACAATACTACACAGCATAACATTGTATAAGGAGTGGAGAATACAATCTCATTGTAATAACTATACAACTAATTGGGATCATTGAGATGTAGAAGAAAACTACTGTAAAGGTGTGCCAAAACTTGTTAACATTGAAACCATTTGAAGGCATTTGTTAGACATTCACATGAATTAAGTTAAGAATAAGTTGTATATTAATTATGAGGGTTAATAAGTTAGTAAAGCATGTGTTCATTGTTTACTGTTAATATAATATTATGTTTAATATAGCCACAAAATCTTAAATTAATATATATTTAATATTATATTAACGTTGAATTTAATTATAAAGTAAATTATAATATTGTAAAAAAGAAACACTTACATTACATTATATAAAATTTTAAAAGTTATTTTGAGATTAAAATTGTCTGAAAATTATTTAAAATGAATTGTGTTTACATTGAAAAGTTGAGGTAATTTCCAAAAAATGTTAGAAAAAGTAAAACTTGTCTTTTGATTACCAGATAAAAGAAAATCATTGAACAAAACGAATACCAATGACTTGAAGTTTTATAGCAAATCCAATGAGAGGTTTTCTAAAATCAATGCCAAACAAGAAAATCAAAACTTTCATGTGTTATGCTTTGTGTTATTCCTGTTTTCAAAAATGAAAATCAAAACAAATTTAATCGTTAATTTTAAAGACAATTTATTGAACTATTATTTTATGTTTAAAAAAGTTATCAATGAAAGTGAAGGCGAACTCGATGTATGAGAAATATATAACTTATATATCAATACCATATATTCAGAGCGTATCACATAATCAGTGGTTTTGTCGTAAGTTTGGTTTGTCTTGAATTTTGTGCAAATACAGAATAAGAATGTAGTTTGTCATACTTTTGCAAACAATTCAAAGTTATATTTGTTTAATTGATTTTCAATATATGGTTTCATATTTGTTGTCCATTTCAGTATTAAATGTGTTGTGCTTTTTGTAATATAAATAGTGTTTTTGTTAAATTGTTTCTAACCATAATGTTGTGTCAAATGAGATCTATGTAAATACAGTAATAATCTTGATATTTGTGGTATGATTTTTGCTCAATATAAACAAAAACTGGTTTCCAAACCCAAGTTTTTTATTTTTACATAATCCCAAATTCACATCAACTTTCACTCCAAACAAGTGTTTTTGTGACCATTTGTTTCATAATATTGTTTGAAAATCATTTTTAAAGTAAATATATTTGTGGTTAAATAGTTTATAAATGTTATTAATTAAAAATATTAATCAAAAGTATTTTAAGTGATTAAATTGAAAAATTATAAATTACTTCATGAGTTAACAATTTTAAATATCATAAAGTTTTTATCATTAATTTTGTATAATTGGATATAAATTAATAAATAACAACTTTTATCAGACATAACAAAGTTTGGTTCAAAAGCAGCAAATATTTTCAACAAATTTATCATTTTGTGATTATTATTGTAGACAACAAATAATTTAATGTAAAGCTTACAAACGCTATGATATCATTCATAATGAATCTCTATTAATGATATAAAATGTAATTTATATATTAATATAAATATTTGTCAAATCACTTATTGGTTACCAAAAAAAGTATAAATATTCAATGAATGCATCGAAAAGCGACAGAAATTTATTGAAAATATTAATTTTGACAGCAATTTTATGAGTGAAAAAACATAGCAATTATGAATATCAATGAATTGAATGACGACTGTTTGAAACAAGTTTTTTCATGGCTTTCATTGCGGCAGAAAATCCGCTGCGAAGGCGTCTGTAAATTATGGCAACAATTAATACTCGAGTCGTTCGCTCAACAGCTCTCCATTCATAGCAATAACTGTTTTCAAGGATTTGAAGTGAAAAAACTTTTCAATTGTTTGCAGAAAACAATTGAAAAGTGCGTTAATTTACGAGCCATTGATTTGACCGATTCGGAGGTCGACGAGAGTATAATAAATCTGGTTTTAAACCAGTGCTCAAAAATCGCCACTTTTTCGTGCAATAAATGTTTGACTCCTTCAGTGATTGAAGCGTTCACTTCATCTAAATATGTGATCCAATTGACAGACATCTGTCTCTCCGATCAGAACATAACTGACATATCGTTGGAAACTATTTTGAAGACGTGTTGTAATAAATTTAGTGACCTGCAAAGTTTCTTACTATTTGAGTTGCCGTTTGGCTCAGAATTCATGAACTCGGGATTGTAGTGTGCAGACCTGTATAGAGTCACGTCCATATAATCCCTTCTTCCCTAGGTAACCTTAGTGTCAAGCGATGGCAAAGATTTGAGACAATTAAAGATCGGAACTTATATCTCACGCGAAGTAATTGAAGATATAGTGAAAAACTTCATACATTTAACTCATTTGTCAATAAATGCCTACTTTTATCCGCAAGTATTCAAATGTGAAGACTTGTCATTAATAGGAAAACTAGCAAATCTTCAACACTTATCGATTCACAATTTACCGCCACTTTTGCACAACAATTTTGACAATACATTCAACAGTATTATCAAATCGACGCCCAAATTGAAAAGTTTGTCTTTAATTGTCGCAGAAATCAGTGACAAGTCATTTGAAAATTTATCAAATTCTTGCCGATTACTCGAGTCATTTGAATACCAATACTCTAGTCATCCAATGGTTATCAATAATGATATCACAAACAAAGGAGCGATCAGTTTATTGAAGTTAAAGAACTTAAGAAATTTGTCGATTACTGGCACTAAAATTGGAGATTTTATGGCAAAAAACATTGAAGACAATGACAGTCTGGCTGTTGTTAATCCCATTAATTGTGTTAATTTATCATATTTTACGATCAATTCGTGTATAAAATTAATTAACACAAAACATACGGATGGACTGTGTGTTCAAATTAAGCAAAACAAAGACTCGTTAACTAATCGTTTGTCAAACTTACCCAAAAACATTGTTATTGAGGAATAAATTGATTAATCTATTTAATAGATTGTTAAATCTCAAAATTTAATTATGGTCTCAAGTAATTTAAAGCATGATTATGTGCAGTACAATAACATGACATATAATGACAAATGTAACTTTACTTTTATACTTTTATAAGATTTTATCTTGTTTTATTGATATAAAATTAATATTTTTTGTTTAGTCTTAAAAGTCTTTTAAATATTTTAACTTGTGTTTAACTGAATATTAGATCTTAAATGATGTTACCTGTCTACAAGTATAATAAATTAGATGTCTATAATATCAACAATTGGACATCTGGTCACTCTGTCCTCCAATAAATTAGTATTAAAACTTATTTGAAACTTCAAAATCCATTCAAGAAACTTTTTGCAAAACTTATTCAAACAGATCTTTAAAAATAATTGTTGTAATATTTGTGATGTTTAACACAAAAATCACATCAACACAATCGGTCCGATTATACAGTATGTTAAGGATAGCACCCATACCAACATCAAAGTTGTAGACCACCCGTGGTTTAGTATAATTGAAATATTTTTTGTTTACAATGCTTAACACTTGTACAGATATATCGATGCCCGCGTTAAAGTGTTGGCACAAGTATAGCATATAAAGTGTATATTTAAC